GAGTCCTAACTATCCAAGCCTACCCGCTACATATCTGGAAATTAGAAATTACCACACTGGAAATACATAGAAATTAGATTATTCATGAAAATATTGAAATTATAAGTTACAATCTTTCACGAGTCTAGATATCTTTTTAAACAAAATTAATGTTTTAAAATAGTTTCTCTAGAATAGTAAATCATTAATTTTATAACTTTTTTGTATAAATATCCCCAAACATTAGAATACTATGATAATAAACCGGTTTTTGTATTATTACAATATACTATGTTACAGATAGGTTTACTCTAAAAATAATAATATGTTTGGTTTTAAACATATTTATCGTGAATGGAGATGTTCAATATATTTTATACTCTCTATTTATCAAACATCAGTTATGAAAATTAATCAATGGAAATGATAGAGGGTACTGTTGCACAATTGGTGGCTCAAGCAAATGATATATTTTTTGTTTAATGTGTGAAATCAGTCACGTATTATGAAATTATATGGTATAAGGTTATAATAATGTATTGTAGAGAAATAAAAATATTGACCGATAAGAGTAATGTATCATAAATAAGAATATTGATTAATTTATTGTTAGAGAAATATAAGGTAAGTTATATGATATAATGTTATTGTACAATATTGTTAGAGAAATATAAGGAAAGATAAAAAAAAAATGTTAGTATAATGAAAGGGTCCAAACAACTTTTTTAAGTAGATTTATTTAGACTCCTTCTCTTTTAATAGTATAGATTCTTGTCACTTTATTTGACATAATAATGGTTTAATGGATCTAAAGCTTGTACAGACATTTTTTGAGAGAAGGGAGAGTATTATACTATTCCATCCATTTAATGTTAAAGACCATCTTCATCCCATTTCTTAAAACAGAGAATTTCTATTACATATGTGAATTTGTTCAAATATATATTTTATAAACTTTCTCTAATTATAGAGAAAAATATAAAGAAATGGTATTTCATCTCTAAATAGAGATAAAAAATTAATATTTTTATATATTTTCTCTAAAATAGATAAATTCTATTACATAGATATATATTGGAACAAATCTACTTCTATATTAGAGATCTCTATTTTAGAAAAAAATATAAAAATATATATTAGAGATTGTGTCGTTTGAGCTTTTAATTTTTTATTTTACTATAAAAGCTTCTTACATTTCAAGGAAAATATTAAATATTACTTTCTAATTTCTATCCATATTTTAATTCATTAATTAATAAAATCAAACAACATAATCTATTAAATATGAATAAATAGAAAATTTAATCATTTTCATAATTCGTGTACAAAATTTTTTGACGATATTTATAATGAAACATAGTGAATATACACGAATTATAAGGCTATTTTTCTAAAGCTATCAAAATTTGTTGACAAAAAAAGATATCATTGTACTCTTAACTCGGTTGTACCCTAAACATTAGTTTGAGAAGGTATAAGCAAACTTGTACTTATAATTTTCAATAATTATCATTATATTTCTAACTCGATTGTAATTTTTTTTTAAATATAATTTGTGATAGAATAATAAATTAGTGCTAATACAAACTTCAAGTCAAGTGAGCAACATAACAGTATTTGCTTATGTGAGAAGCTAATGTAAGCAGTGTGATAGCATTATAGCAATAAAACTGAAAAATCAGGAGTGGCAGTGGGGGCCCGATGGCAAGCAAAACATCGCATGATATTACTTGTTAGGTATACATTTTTGGTCTATTGTTTGGATACAAACTTGACAATATTTGGTTTAAAGGTAAAAATGATACTCAAAATTTTTAATCATTTAATTATTTATACCTTTGAAAATGTGTCAAGATTGCAAGGACTTAACAAGACTGATGTTGAGCAATCTTTGATGTGTAATAGGAATCTCGTGTGGTAGGTATGTTGACAGGAACCATGGTTTCAGACAATAGTCTTAATTCAGACAATGAAAAGCACACGGAGGGAGCAATCTCCGCAAGTAATCTTAAAAGTTTTTTTTTTATTAATTGCGTATCAATCAAGTAAACATAAAAAAAAAAGAAGATCAGTCTCACGTTCTTTAAATCATCAGACAACCAAACAAAAAGAAAAAAACACAAACTCACAAAACATAAGACAAGATCTTGTTGAAAACCCAAGTATAGATCACAGCAAGTGTACCTCCAACAGGAATCGTAACAAGCCACGAAGCAACAATCTCTCTCACCGTCTCTGCTCTCACACTATTAAGCCCCCTCGCGAACCCAACTCCCATCACAGCTCCAACAAGCGTATGCGTCGCCGATATCGGAAGCCCTAACTTCGAAGCAAACAAAACCACCGACGCAGCCGCAAACTCCGCCGCAAACCCTCTCGTCGGTGTAAGCTCAGTGATCTTCTTCCCTATCGTTGCAATCACTCTGTACCCCCACATCGTGAGACCAGCAACGATACCAAACCCTCCCCACGCAAGAACGTCCATAGGGATCAAGATCTCTCCTCCTCCTCCTCCTGTAGCTCCTCTCTGGAGGATGCTCAAGGCGGCTGCTAAAGGTCCTATCGCGTTGGATACGTCGCTGCCTCCGTGAGCAAAGGACATGAAGCATGCGGAGAGGACTTGCATGTAGCCGAAGACACCGTAGACTATCTCGAGTTGAGTGTCTGTAGGGCCTGCGATTTCTGAGAGGAAACCAATGCTTTTGGGATGGCTTTGAGGTGTGTCTAGTGGTTTGGTTTTGGCGAGGAGGTGGCCTAGTTTGTCTCGGATGATTCTGTCGAAGATTATGGCTCCTACTGCTCCACAAGCTAAGGCTTGGGAGAGAGCTATGGGGAAGATTTTGCTTAGAGGAAACGCGGCGGATGAAATGCTTGCCACGCCTATGAACACGGCGACGGGAGCTGCTGTTGCCGCCGCTTGTCCCGGGTTTGGTGCACTGTAGACAAACTGCACATGACAGAAGCTTAAGCATGTTAAAAGAAAATGACTCGAATCGACGGCTCTGATACCATATAGAATGCTTAATGTTCATTAGGTATTGTAGTTACAATATATATAGTGATTAAAAAATACTAATCTATCATTAAGCATGTAAAAAGAAAGTGGCTCGAATCGCCGGCTCTGATACCATATAGAATAAAAGGCTTAATTTATATAGTGATTAAATTATACTAATATATCTTTAACATTTAATATACTCTACACATAGTTTGGTTCTTGAGATTGATTTGGTTTGTTTGACTTACTCTCCTGATGCATTTGTAGACAAGAAAGGAGACTAGAGCTCCCATTAGAGGAGATATAACCCAAGATGAAGCCACTTTAGCTAAAGAGCTCCAGAAAACAGCACCAGCTCCACCATAAACCAGTCCAAACCCAACCATTGATCCAACAATGCAGTGGGTTGTGGATACTGGCCATCCAAAGTAAGAAGCCACCTGTAAAGATTCACAAGTACACAATCTTTTCACCTTTAGGTTCTCTACTTGTATCCTTTTGGTAAACTTATAAATTTTAGTCATAGCCGGTTCTGGACATAACCAAATGAAACATTAGCATTCAACCTTTGAAATTTTTCTAGTTAATATATATTAACATACGCTCCCAAATTGTTTAAATTTTCTAGTTAATATATATTAACATAAGCTCCCAAGTTAATATATATTAACATAGGCATTGCAAATAGGTTCTGTACTTCTATCATTTGTCATTACCATCCTCAAATGTATTAAACTATACTAATCTTTTTCCTCTTGAAACTAGTGAGGAAGAAGCAAAAAGATAAGATAAGAACCTGTAACCAAGTTCCAGCAGCAGTCAAGGAAGAGAGAAGACCAGAGAAGAGCAACATATCTTTCCCTTGAAACACATTAGCCATTAGAATCCCCTTTTGCATCGTGCTAGTCACGTGAGTTCCCATCAAAAGAGCACCAGCAAACTCAAGAACCGCAGCAGTAATCACAGCTTGCCTTATAGTCAGAGCTCCAGATCCAACAGAAGTCCCCATGGCATTAGCCACATCATTAGCTCCGATATTCCACGCCATGTAGAAACCAAAGAGCAGCGTCGCGTAAGAGAGTAGCTTGGTCTTGAGAGCGAGTCCTTGTCCCAGGGATTTCATGAAGAATGGTAAGGAGAGAGCAGAGAAGGCGATGACTATAGTGATTGCCCTAGCTGTTTTGGAGGAAATGTGAAAGGCCTGAGCCATTCCAGAGAAGTCTCCTGCATTACCTTTTGCTTCTGATTCGTGAGAACTTTGCATCTGTTGATCTCCATCTTCTTCAGCGTAAGAGGAGAAGGTAGCTAAAGGGTGGACGAGTTTGAGCGGGAGAGAAGTGTGTTTGTTGTGAGAGAGGAATAGGGTACTGTTTTTCTTGAAAAGAGGAGATTCCTTGGGAGAGAAGCAACCTAGAGCTGATCTAGGTACGCAGAGGTGAGAAGTCTTGAGTAGAAGAGAGTGGTTTTTAACCGAAGAGAGACCATAAGGAAGAGTCATGCCTGAGAGGAAGAGGAAGGAGAGTTAGATGTGTGTGGGAATCAAGAAGAGGAAAGGAGATGGGATATGAGGAATGGATGATGAAGAAGATGATGGTGATGTTGATGAAAATGGTGTTGCATAATGGATTTTTAATTTCAGGAGACGAGAGAGAGGGTTAGTGGTGTGATGGTGGTGGCGGCCAGGGGAATGTGAGGTGGTGGTGAGAGGATTGAGTTATGGAATTTGTGTGGTTCTTGTGGATTGTGTAGAGAGAGGCTCTTTTGTTGGGGAATTTTTTGTTCTTTGGATGTTGTAGTTAGGTGGCACTTCTTAGATTTTATATTTAAACGTGGCACAGTTTTTTTTTTTTACATGTTTGAACTTATCAATAAATGATTACAGATTTTAGTTTACTGATGAATTTTACAAAAGGATTTTTTACCTTTTAGTTATTAGTACAATACTTATCTAAAATATAGAAACAAATCAAATATGAAAGTTTTTAGGAAAAAACACAATTTATGATGAAACCTATACTATTTAATCATTGTAATTCATTAAAAAAGTTTTTGTATGTTCTTCGTGATTTTGTATGCCACCTAACTTATAAACCACCTGAATAAATTGAGTTAGCAAATGTTAGGTGACACCATCTTCTCTTATGATTTTTTTTTTCTTTTGCTAGGAAGTCATTTTCGGAATTAATCCTTCACAAATCCAATTTTTACTGTTATATCAGTTTTATAAAATTCAAACCTGCTTTTATTACATTGAGCTTGGTTTATATAACACATGAGTTGGTAGATTAGAAAATGTTTAGTCGACCACCAAATGCATGTCGACCAGATCGGTCCAAATCTTATATAAGGTTCGAAAATGATATCTTAAAAATGTTTTAGATCATTTTCACTTATCTTAAAAAATGAAAATAGAATGAACTGGACATTGATAAGATATTTCTCTTTAGCAGCACCTTTAGAAACCAATGAGACGTATACAATTGTATATAGGCAACAATTGAACTGCAGAAACGCAAGTAGAAAGCAACGATGAATGGCTCCGGTTTGGATATGAAAAACTCTGATCGGCATTAAATAATTAATCCGGTTTCTGATTATTTAGGCCTTTTAATTACAAAGGCCCATAATTAAACTAATTGGGCTTTTATAGTAAACTTCTAAGATTTTGAGTGTGTTCTTACAGAACCTTAAGGTCAATGGAACCAAAACTCAATCACACATGGCACTGACCGGAGTTTCTGCCGCCGTTGGTCGTGTCCTCCGCCGCGAAAAACCCCAAAAACCTCTCCTCAACACCCGACCCGAAACCTCAATAACCCACCAAATCCTCGACCAACTCGAACACGGCAACATCTCCAAAGCCGTCTCCCTCCTCTTCCCTTCTCTAGAGCCAGTCTCGTACTGGCTCTACGAGCGTCTCCTCCGCTCATGCTCCTCGAAATCACTCGTCGTGCAAGCCCGCAAAGTCGTCTCCCACCTCGTCACATTCTCCCCTCTCCCTCCCATCTTCCTACTAAACCGAGCCATCGAGACTTACGGGAGAATCGGCTGCGTTCACGATGCACGCGAATTGTTCGAGCAAATGCCTGAACGAGACGGAGGGTCTTGGAACGCGTTGATCACGGCTTGTGTTAAGAACGAGTTGCACGAGGAGGTGTTTCGTAATTTCGTTAGGATGAATAGAGATGGGATACGAGGCACGGAGACTTCCTTTGCTGGTGTTTTGAAGTCTTGCGGTTTTGTGTTGGATTTGAGGTTGTTGAGGCAGCTTCATTGCTCTGTGGTGAAGTATGGGTATTCGGGGAATTTGGATTTGGAGACTTCGTTTGTTGATGTTTATGGGAAGTGTAAGGTTATGAGTGATGCGAGGAGAGTTTTTGATGAGATGGGAAGGCCTAGTGATGTTTCTTGGAATGTGATTGTGAGGAGGTATCTTGAGATGGGTTTGAATGAGGAGGCGGTGTTGATGTTTTTCAAGATGTTGGAGTTGAATGTTCGACCTTTGAATCATACAGTCTCTAGTGTGGTTTTAGCTTGTTCAAGATCACAGGCACTTGAGGTGGGGATGGTGATCCACGCCATTGCTGTGAAACTTAAGTTTTTGCCAGACACGATTGTTTCGACTTCTGTATTTGATATGTATGTGAAATGTGGGAGATTAGAGAATGCTCGTAGAGTGTTTGATCAAACAGAGTGTAAAGATTTGAAGTTTTGGACTTCAGCTATGTCAGGGTATGCGATGAATGGTATAACTAGAGATGCAAGGGAGCTTTTTGATTTGATGCCTGAGAGGAATATAATCTCATGGAACGCTATGTTAGGTGGATATGTACGTGCTAATGAATGGGATGAGGCGCTGGATTTTTTAACCTTGATGCGCAAGGAGATGGAAGGTATTGATAATGTCACTCTTGTGTGGATTTTAAATGTCTGCTCAGGTGTTTCAGATGTTCAAATGGGGAAGCAAGCTCATGGTTTCATCTACCGGCATGGTTATGATGCTAATGTGATTGTAGCTAATGCACTTCTTGATATGTATGGCAAATGCGGAACCTTTGGGAGTGCCAATGCTTTGTTCCGTCAGATGAGTGAGCTAAGAGATGAGGTTTCATGGAATGCTTTATTAACTGGTTTAGCTAGAGTTGGTCGAAGTGAACAAGCTTTATCTTTCTTTGAAGGGATGCAGCTTGAGGCAAAGCCTAGCAAATACACACTAGCAACGCTCTTAGCGGGCTGTGCAAACATTCCTGCTCTTAGTTTAGGCAAAGCAACTCATGGTTTCCTGATCAGAAACGGCTATGATGTTGATGTTGTTATACGTGGTGCTATGGTTGACATGTATTCCAAATGCAAATGTTTTGACTACGCTATCCATGTATTCGAAGAGGCGGCAGCGGGTACAAGGGACTTGATGCTATGGAACTCTATGATCCGTGGATGCTATCGTAATGGAAGAAGCAAAGAGGTGTTTGAGTTGTTCATGCTTATGGAAGATGAAGGAGTTAAGCCTGACCATGTTACCTTTATGGGTATCTTACGTGCTTGCATACGAGAAGGCCACGTGGAACTCGGTTTTCAGTATTTTAGTTCTATGAGCAGCAAGTATTTTATATTGCCTCAGGTTGAGCATTATGATTGTATGGTTGAGCTTTACTGCAAGTATGGGTGTTTGCATCAGCTTGAAGAGTTTCTCCTCTTGATGCCTTTTGATCCACCTATCCAAATGTTGACAAGGGTATATGATGCGAGCAAAAAGTACGGATGGGGAAAGTTGGGAGAATGGGCTGCTAAAAAGCTTCATGAATGATCATCACGTTCAGGTTCAGGTTCAGCCACCATATATTAACAAAGATATTGTGTTTTGAGGATTTGAGCATATGCATTTAAGAAGATTGTAGACAAAATCTGGTGTCTTTTGAAGACCATTTAGAGGAAAGGGGATGAAGCCGTTGCCACAAGAGGTGACAGAGATACAATTCCCCGGGCCATATGCAATGTAAGTTGTTTACTCTTATACAAGCCTATTAATTAAGATTGATCTCTGAGTTTTTCACATTTTTTTGTTATGAGATTTTATCACACTTTTGTGTGTGTAAATCTCTGTTTTGTAATTTTCAAAGAAGTCTGATATCTCCCTTAGACAGAGGAATCGCTCTATCAAAAAGATCAATGTGATGTCATTTTATTTGATATGTAAAGCAATGCAGAACAGTTTATAAATAGTAACTGATGTTATTACATATACCACATGTCTTTTGGATGAATGCAAGAGTATAAAGTATATTATTATTATTTCAATGATTAACACACAAGCATATGAACATAGTGAAAATTCATTAGTTAAAGTTTATGCTAGAAGAAAAGAAGAGTCAAGACTCAAAACTAAATACAAAAGGAGCATGACACTAAGGAAGAAGCATAAGCATTTTCTTAGGTGGTTTAGCTTAACCATCATGCAATTACATAAACCAACATTCAACAGAATCAAAGACAAGTTGAACCGGATCGATCTTGACTTTATCACCACGGAATCTAAACACATATTAAGTTCTTTGGTCAACTTCCACATTTATCAACCAACTTGGACTTCTTATTACAGACATGGCAACATCAAACTCAACATGTCTAACTGACTTCTTCAACATCTGTTTTAATAATCCAAACTTTTATTTAATTTTATTACTTAAACCTCTCTAATCTTGGCTTAGTTCGAACAGAAAAAACCACAAAAACCATGGATCAAGATCTTGAAATGTTCCCGTTACTCTCTTACGTCCTCCACCAGTTCGATTCCGAGCACCACCCGCCGCCGTCTATGGCCGTTCAACAAGCTCTTGCTCCTTCTTTTCCTCTTCTCACCGAACCACAAATAATGTCATCGTTGACTCAGTCCATCCCCACCACCATCACACAGATTCTTCACATGGATGATTCTCTCTCCCCTGAGGAAGAGGCTAACGAGGAGATAAAGCTGAGTGACTTGGAGGAGAAGCTTTCTTGTGTTTATAACACGGCGGTGGAATCTTTGCTGAGAAGCCGTGAAGAAGTGAACGAGGAGGTTGTTGCCTTGCTCGAGGCGGCTGAATCCGGCACAGTTCTTGAGAGGATCGATCTCTCCCGTCAAGAACTTAATCTTCTCCCTGAAGCGTTTTGCAAAATCGTTGGCTTAGTTTCCATGAACCTCTCATGCAACAACTTGACGGTAAACATTAAAAATCGCCAATATTTTGAAATAATCTGACATGATTGCTACATCATATATGGATCAAATCTTTAATATATTGGTTTGTGGTATATATTCAAAAATTAAGAGAATTGATTTAGTTATCTATGTCAGCAAAGTGCACTTAGCAATGGACGGTCGGTACTGAATTTTGATTATAGGTTTAAAAAATGTTTTAATAGATTTGAGGATCAAGAACTTGATTGGTAGTGTTGTTTAATTAATGTTTCATTAACTTGTTGTGATCTGAAACTGTTTTTCAAACAACCTTTTGACAGTTCATACCTGATGCAATCTCCAAACTGAAGAATCTTGAAGAGCTCGATGTATCTTCAAACTCTCTTGAATCACTTCCTGATTCTATAGGAATGCTTCTTAACCTTAAGATCCTTAATGTGGCTTCCAACAACCTATCTGCACTCCCTGATAGCATCGCGCATTGCAGGTTTTGGTTCTTGTCTCTTCTTCTAAATGTCTAAACATTGTCGGGACCGGTCTTGAGATTTCAGAAACTATAGACGATTTAGTAAAATTTTTAATAAAAAAAAAATTCTTATAAATTTGAGAATCTAGTACATGTAATTTTTTTCAAAAAGAAATTGGGGGTGAAAATTGTTTCTACTTTTTGTTCAGAAGTTTTATAATAAATATTTTGTTTTGGTATTATTAGGTCATTGGTTGAGTTAGATGCAAGTTACAACAACTTGACTTCACTACCTAAAAACATCGGATACGGATTACAAAACCTCGAGAGATTGTCTATACAGCTAAACAAACTCCGCTATTTTCCAGCCTCGATAATCGAAATGCGTTCCCTAAAGTACATTGACGCACACATGAACGAGATCCACGGGCTTCCAAATTCCATCGGCAGGTTAACAAGACTCGAGGTTCTAAACCTAAGCAGCAACTTCAACAACTTGGTGGGTGTCCCTGAGGCAATCACTGACCTAACTAACCTAAAGGAACTTGATCTAAGCAACAACCAAATACAAACGTTACCCGACACGTTTCATAGGCTGAAGAAGCTGGAGAAACTCAACTTGGACCAGAACCCGTTGGAGATCCCGTCTCAAGAAGTGGCTAGCCAAGGAGTTGAAGCTGTTAGAGAGTTTATGGAAAATAGATGGGATGAGATTATGGTGGAAGAGGAACAGAGGTTTGGTGTTGAGCCTGAGCGGTGTGGAGATGAAGCAGGATGGGTCTCATGGGGAACCTCTATGGTTACTAATCTTGTTTCTGGGATGACTCAGACCGTTGGATTCGGTGGAGGATATGATGGCGATAAGAAACATGAAGAATCATGTTTTTATCACCAAATCTGAGTTCTGCTTTCTAATTTTGGGGTGACTTCTTGTGAACAACACATTATTACCTTCTTGTGCAAGTTTGCAACATAAAGAAAATGTTACTATTTTCAGATACGTTTTCTCAAGGTTCATAATAAAATATATTATAGATCAGTTATTTTTGTGCACCAAACCGACGACAGGAGTGGAGCTTCTTCACGGAGGATCTCGACCACGAAGAAGCTTGGTCGCGGTGGTAGGTGTCAGTGAGTGAAGCTTGACACAAAGAAGAAGTCGGAGCTCGAATTCGCCAAGGTTCATAGCGGCTTGACGTAGCGGGAAAGACACACCGCTATGAAAAAAAGTATTTCATCTTATATTGTGTTTAACCTTAGTTACTAACATACTTAGTTTTAAACGTTACATTGTTTTAAGGTTTTTCATGGAGTAAACACTTTGAATGAGATCTATATTTATACACTTGTTGATTGTTTTGTTTGGACATCCTTGATTAAACCTTGATCACATTATTTCAATTATCTTTACCCATTGATCCATTTTAACATTTGGTTAAAAATTTATATATTTCCTCTATCTTGATTGAATTTGAGATTACATTGTTTATATTGCGAGGATTTTAGTTTGTTATAAATCATCTTTCTTATTTGCTTAAATTAGAGAAGTTGTATATTTTTAATGTTACAAATCACTAGGTCTTGTGGATTACATCCTAAAGTATTATAATGACATGTCAATCAATTGTGCTATTGATTACATAATAGGTTATTTTAATAATTATTGATTGCGATATTGTTTGTAGTTATTTTATTATCACCAAATTAATATTATTTGTGGTTAATATTGTAAATTCCAGGTAATTTATTTTTCTGAGTCTTTTAAATTTTTATTTTTCTTATATTTTATGTACAATTTTATCTGATTAAAAATTTAAGTTATTTCATTATTTTAAAATATATGGATGTCATAAAGAAAACTTGTGGCCATTATTTTTTCGTTATGTTAAAACTTTAGATCTCTATAATATTATTTGAGAAGTCAGTTTCCTACGTGTCGCGTTTACATTAACTCTCGCGATGGTTGATTACATAGATAATCTTAATGAATTATTAGATTTTAAGATTATTATTAATTATTTTTATTTAGTTTCTTTTTACCTTTTTCCAAATAACATATACAATAAAAAGGAAATATTTCTAAAATTTTAAAACAAATTAAAAACGAAAATATATGTACATAATATGACTTTATTAAAAAGGAAAGTTCACAAAATAGTAATACCCCCATTAATACATATTTTTTAAATAACATAAAATATATTTTCAAAATAATAAAAATATATATGTTCATGAACATTCAAATATTTACCAGTTACACTTTATTTTCTAATATTCTTTAGAAATCAACATATAATTTGATAAATATTATGAAATACATGTATATTTAAGCGATAAATAAATTAATTTGATTTGACTTAACTGCAATAAAGAGTAAATAAATATTATAAAAATACATGTATATTTAAGCAGTAAATAATATTAATTTGATTTGACTTAACTAAAAAAGTAACTATACTTCAAATTTAATTTAAAAATATATTTAACTCAATATACTCTTAATATGAATGACTCGACTAATCTAATTTTTTATTTTTTATTTTATTTTTTTGACTAATCTAATTTATATCCAAATTTAAACATCTAACTACAATAAAAAAATATAATAATAATAATAGTACTAATAATAATAATAATAATCTATTTAATTTTATACATCTAAATTAGAGGTTGACTTAAAGCATATCGAAAAGAAAAAATAAAATATTAACCAATTACAATTTAATTCTTTTGTAGAATTTATATATATGCATGAGACTTCAAAATATTATCATTATATTCATTTATGTAATTTTGAATCAAACACTTTAGCTTATTATTTATTTTATTTTAAGCACAATATATATTAAGCTATACATAATTTAACTATAATCTATTTACATATCTAAAAATTTATTTACATATCTAAGACAATAACCTACCGAAATGAAAATAAGAAGATTAATCAAAGTTTTATTATATTTAAAATAAAAAATATTATAGCTTAATTCAAAAAATAGATATTATCCAGTATACCAAATTGACAACTAAACTGCCAATTGATCCAAAAAATAATTAAACCGACAATAATATATCCAAAGTCATATGTATAATTAGACCAATATAATATTTATTAATATAAATTATACATATAAATTTATTCAAAACTAAAACTAAATATCAATCAATTATTATAAAATTTTATTTTTATAAATATTCATACCTGTGCATGAGCACGGGAAAATCACCTAGTACCAAGTTATGTTTGATGTCAAATATGAATTAGCGTAAATACCAAGTTATGCTTTAGATCAACTTTATTGCATTCTATTCCATTTGAAAATTTTTTATTTATAATTTTGAACTCAATATCATATACCATAGCATAAAAATTATTGTAAATAATATAATATAAAATTCGGTGTTATGTATTTCTATTTTGAAAACAACAACAGACAAATAGATTAAAATGACAATTTAATTAAGTACATCAGTTGGTAAATGTTTAATTATATACCTCAGTATATTTATTTTTTTATATACCTGATTACATATTTAATTATACTAGTATTAGTTTTCATTTGATGTAATAGTACTGAATTATAATAAAATTCACATTAAATGGTCTTTCACACCTCAGTATATTTATTTTTTTATATACCTGATTACATATTTAATTATACTAGTATTAGTTTTCATTTGATGTAATAATACTGAATTATAATAAAATTCACATTAAATGGTCTTTCATATAAGGGGGATTTGCCAAATATGACTCAAAACTTGGTTTCAAATGCAAAAGTAAACCCAAACATGAATCAAATGCAAAAGTAACCTAAAAAGATATTGAAATTACAACCAACCCCTTGTGAAAAAACAAAAAATTTGATGTTTGCACATAAGACTTTCAATTAATTAGGTTGATGTTTGTATTTTTATTCCTTAAATTTGGTAAAAGACTAATAATTAAGTCGTCTGCAAAGTCATCCAGCTGGAAGACTTTCCAGACAACTTAATTATTATTATTGAAATTACAACTAATCCCTTGTGAAAAAACAAAAAATCTGATATTTGCACATAAGACTTTCAATTAGTTAGGTTGATGTTTGTATTTTTATTCCTTAAATTTGGTAAAAGACTAATAATTAAATCGTCTGCAAAGTCATCCAGCTGGAAGACTTTTCAGACAACTTAATTATTAGTCGCCTGTGAAGACTAACACAAATTCTTAATACATAGATTCATAACACAAATTCTTAATACATAGAATGATAACATAAATTCTTAATACATAGATTCATAACACAAATTTTTAATACATAGATTCATAAAAGAAATTCTTAATAGATAGATTCATAACACGAATTCTTCTGGACGATTTAATTAAAGGTCATTCTTTACATTGTGCTTTTATATGGCTAGCTTCTCTGCATACTGAGCATCTATAAATCCTGTGTTGCTTCCGCGGTTTGCGTCCTCTCATCCGGGATAGCTTCAACCAATATTGCCATCTTGATTTCTTCTGTCTCCCTGGACCACGCTTTTTGGCCAGAGGATCGCATGTGCGTTCCTCAACTTGTTGTCCAGCACAAGGTTATATATTCTCTGAGTATCCTACAAACAAATAATTCTTTGAGTACACTGGATGTACAAGTGTGGAGATATTCACATGAGCATGTGATCCAGCAGCTATAGCATGAGAGCAAGGTATTTTCTCCACTTGATTTCCATCCATCAATTGGTTGGGCCCTCATCGTATCTGCTATCTCGGATCAAACAACAAGTAAGTATTCAACACCCCGACTATGATCTGTTAGGAGACTCAAAGCATCTTCTCTCCTTTTCCAAAAACACTTTCCTAGCTTCTCCCTTATGAACTCCAACATGAACTGAATCGGAAATTCTCTAGATCGCTTCAGTGCGGAATTAATAGATGCAGAGATGTTGCTTGTTTTTATGTTGTACATGTCCCCCTGACAATAAACTCTTGACCATAGGCTGACGTCGGCATTCTCCAAATACATTGCAAGGTCCGGATTTGCACTCCGTATCTCAGCCATGTACCGGCCAAAATCTAAAACCGTATGAGCATAAGCAGCACCTTTCACCAAGTACAAGAGATGTTTCCCTTTATACTTTTTGACAATGTTAACTTGGAGGTGATAATAACATAGTCCTCAGGTTTCCCAAGGAAATACCTTATCACACGCACTTTTAATGGCTGTGTGCCCGTCGAACACTATCACCAGGGACTGCTCATCAAATACACAAGTAGCCAATTTTATGAAAAACCATTCTCATGAAGGTTCATCTTCAGCATCTACGATACCAAAAGCCAAAGGAAATATCTGAAAATTCTCATCTTGTGAGGCTGCAACTAACAAAGCACCTCCATACTTCCCACTTAGGTGAGTCTCATCCACCACAATGACCATTCTCTGATACTTAAAACCTTTGATAGAAGCTTCGAAAGAGTGAAATAGATACTTAAATCTATTGATGGAATCAAGTTCTATAGCGGTGATAGAATCGGGATTTGCTAAGGAGATTTGTTCGAGATATGATGGCAGACGCGAATATCCATTTTCTGCTGATCCTCTCACCAATGTTTGTGCATATAAAAGTGCTCTGTATGAAGTGGTGTAATCAAGCGTCATGACAAACATGTTCTTCATTGCATCAGTGATATGATGCAGAGTCAACCCATCAATGATTCCAAAACGATCAATGAAAAGCCTACCAACATACTTCGGAATACAGTGTCTCCGCAGAGCGATTCGGTCTTCCACTGAGCATGTATGTGTTTCCACATACTTTGTTACCCAAAACGTGTTTGACCCATGTTTCACACTTGCTCTGATCTCCCATCCACAACCACTAACCCAACATGTTGCCACAAGGAGAGTTTTCACTGACTTGTATATTCTGAAGGAGAACTTACGCCTCACTGGTGTCAACCGCAGCTCTGAAAGCAGTGCATCATTGCTAACAAAATTCTGGTTGACATAGATAATGTTACCATTCGATCTTCCTCCTTCAATAACATATGTCTTTTTGAAATCTTCAAAACACATATCATCATCTTCTTCCTCATCCTCATCTTTAACCTTACCATAAACACTATAATCCTCACCATTCTCGTCTGCTTCAGCAACAATAGAGATATCATCATCCTCCTCCCCATCATCCTTCTCCCCATCATCCTCCTCCCTATCATGAATTTCATCTTTAACCAAATCATCA